TGATATTCTGCTCTGCTGTAAGCCACCAAAATTTATAGACGGATAATATATAAAACTGTTTTTGCTTTTGGTGGATTTAGAGATGCCATTGAATTACATTTATTAGGTAAAGAATGTGTTCATAGGTGTAAATGAAATGTCACACAGACCGAGGTTTATCTTACAGATCGTTTATTACCATTTAATATTTAGACAATTAAGTTTGGATTTAATGCTACAAAATATTTTCCAGTAAAGGTAAAATAAAAAAATACACTGCAAGTACAATGGAATAACAAGAAATATTACAGTTACAACACAGTTTATAAGTGTCTAGAAGAGTCAAGAGAATAATGAACCAGAAATAAAGAAAAGTTGGGTGAGAAGGTCCATAACATCAGTCAACATTTGATGCGTTCTGGTGCAATTTTGATGTGTTTAGATGCATTCCAGTGCGTTTTTGTCACATTCCAATTCACTTCTGAGCAACAAAATGCTGAATGTTGTACTTTTTTATTTTGTGCACTGAAACCCACTATGCCAGTGGAACCCATCTAATCTACTGTCCATGTGTTTTTGATGCAGAAAAGACACACTGGACTGCATCAGGTGTGAACCGGCCCTAATATCTGAGGCTAATGAGGAGCCCCCTTTGGATAGCTAGCTCCCTATAGGGGTGGCAGGTGATGATGGACTTCATGTCTTCCCATTAACATGTTGGGCACCAAGTCACATGAGAAGGTTGACCCCAGGGTGGGTTCTTCTGGACTATGCTGGACACCTGTAACAGGGTCACTTTCCTTGCATTTGGGTATCTTTACTTGTGCTCACTACATCAGTACCCAAGGACCAGGCTAAGGCCACCATCAAGGAACACACGACCTTAAGGTGGACCTCTGACACTAGAGATGGCCATGTACCGTGTGGACTTGCACAATAACTGTCCTCCAGTTACCTCTTGGGTCCCTGTGTCAATGTACACTCCGACTGTAACTGGCAGTTAGGAGAGACATGCTGAGCCCATTTCCCCATTTTTCACCTGTCCAGCATTCTCCGCCACCTCTCAGCAGCGGCGTGGAACCTGTCGAGCACCTAGTATTGGCTTCATGCGTGCACACGACTTAACTCTTGATTCCCCATACCTCTGCAAAGGTTAGAAACCTCAGCAGTGCCAATCTGCTCTCATTGCTATGGGAAACAGACTGCTGTATGTGCTAGTAGCATCTCCCTTGCTGCTAGAGGCTATCCCACTCATCATCTGTACACGCTAACAGGCTGCTTGGCTGACTACTGGCTTCCTTTACCCATGATAACCAATTGACTGACTTTACACTAGGAAGATTCTGAGTGTTGTCTTCATACTCCCATGTGCATAGTGACCCATCCGGGTTACTTATAATAAACTCCTTTTTAATGTATTTCGACCAAACAAAAAGCAAAGTTTTAATGCTTTACTTAGAAAAAGGCCCAAAAACATTACAACAGAGTCTAACAGATATGAACATCTCTTACTCAGGCTTATGTGCTGCCCCGGCATACCTATATAGGCTCTGTGACAGAGTCCATTGCATGTCAGTCTCCAGTAGCTGGTGTCTTTAGGGTGAGCCCCAGGTTTCACAAGCTCCTACATGACGGCAGGCTCCAAGGATAAGGAAGTTAGAAATGTATAGCGCAACTCCACTCACTCTTATCCCCCCCTAGTGTATAGGAGCAGTGGGCCGGACCTAAAAAAAAACCCGCCAAAGAAAAAAAACCCCAGGAAGTTAATCCTTACCCTCCTGTCCAAGACAGCACCTAATTAGCTTAGATTGCACCCTGCTTACATCCCTACACAACTGCAAACACAGGTAACTGCTGGTACAGGTAAAAGTCTCCAGCACGCTGTAGTGGAAAGGAGAAGAAAGGAAAATGACACAAATGACGTTAGCATGACATCACTTCTACAGTTGAGCTTGTAAATTATGCTCACTAAAGATATGGGATTTTTTGAAGCCTACCTCTGTTGGGATGGGACATGGATAGAAGTTCTTGGCTGACTAAGAAATTGCAGCAGTTACAACTGGGACGTGGGGGTGAAATATTTGCTATTCAAAACCTTTGTGCATTTGGAGCTTGCTATACAACTGTTTGGTCTTCTCTGGGACTAGGCAGATGCAGTCTGTAATCTCCATTGCAGATCTCGATTGTCTGCAGCAGCAATGCAGATGGCAGAGGAGACACTTGGATCAGAGATCTGGTTGGATGCTCGTGCCCACGTGACCCCGGTGGCCATTTTGGGTTAGGCAGAGTCTATTTAAGACTCTGAGCCCTGGGTTTGGTGCACCCAGTCTGTCAGGGAAAGTGTTGAGCATTAAGGAAAGGTTCCAGAGGAGTAGCGAGAGAGCAGGGGCTACTTTCCCTTTGGGTTGGACCAGCCAGGCCGCATTCCATCCCTTGTGACAAATGCTGTCAGCATCCTTGGGTCTCCAGGCTGCTGCCTCACCACAAACAGTTGTAAGTGAAAATGGACAGTGATCCCTCCCACCAGGTTTGTTTGTACAAATTGACCTCTTATACAATCCATGGATGTCTCAAGGGGAGGAATTTCGTTCCCTCTAGGATTAGTAAGTCTTGATCAGGGTCCTGGAGGCTGGGAAGGATGAAGCCTCTGGCCCATGGTCCACATTTTGCCAGAAATCAGCATGCAGATACATGTACAGGTGTGCACAGGGTTTTTATAAGAAAGATGACTAGAGTTCAGAGCTCCACATTATTAATATACAGGATTTATATAGCACCAACAGTTTGCACAGCACTTTACAATAAAAAGGGAGATAATACATCAACACAGCAACAATACAATTCAATACAAGAGGGTTCGGAGGGCCCTACTCCTGGATTCACCTTTGAGGTAGGACAGTCCACACAGGAGAGGGCTGGCCAGCATGAGACGGCACATGTGTGCACCCAGAGTCTACATTGTGGGGATTGTCTCCAGGATAGGCAGATAAAGGCCTGAAGCCTGTGAGGCCAAAGCAGCAATGCAGCAAAAGCAAGCCAGTAGGCTGAAAGTGAAGCATATTGTGTTGGGACTTGGGAGAGGAATGCTGAGAAAGGAGGGGGGTTACCCACCTGTGTGACTAGAACTTTCCTTTATTACAGGTGGGTACTTGGTCTAATTACCACACTGTCTTGTGTATGGTGTACATATCATATTGTAAATCAAAACTATATCTAAAACAAAAAAAACAAGGTTGTTGGCAGCATATTGGCTGGCAGTGGGTTTCTCTAGGTCAGTGCTCGCCGAATGTGGCCCTTTGCTTCCCTGGATGTGGCCCCTCCCACAAGGAAGAAAATATATTTGAAATATATTTTAAAAATATTCTTCCCAAATATATGGACAAATATCTGAAATGCTATATATATATCTATATGTCTATCTATCTATCTATCTATCTATCTATCTATCTATCTATCTATCTATCTCTCTCTCTCTCTCTCTCTCTCTCTCTCTCTATATATATATATATATATATATATATTTTATAAAATATATAGATATATAGATATATACTGCATGTTGAAATGCGTTTTTTATTACAAAATCTATGAAAAATATTTTTAAAAATACATTTTAAATATACTGTATGTCTTTAAAAATACAAATCTACATTTTTTGGAATGCATTTACAAATATATGTAAAAAATATGTAAAAATTACTTTTTTATATGTTTAAAAAAATCTGGAGTATATGTAAAAAAATATATATTTTTAAAAATATTTTTCATATACTTTGTAATATATAAAAATGCATTTCAACATGCTGTATATATATTTATTTAAATATATATTTTTTTCACTTCCACTGAGCACCAAGACTGAGACATCCTCTACTCCCACTGACACTGGGGCATTTTCTACTCCAGCTGGCCACAGTCCAGCCCTCCTAAAGTCTGACGGACAGTAAACTGGCCCTTTGTTAGAAATTTACAAGGAAAAGAGGGAAAATTCCTGATTGTATGCCACCATCCCCCTAGGACTTGGGACTTTGAAGGAAAAAGTACAAATTTTTATTTGTGAAAAATTGTTATGACACATAGACATACAATGCAATACATCATACAGAGTCATAGTACAGCATCGAAACCAGAATATGAATTTACATGATAAGGATACCCAGTATGACTATGTTTGACTGGCCATAGAGGATATGAATTATGGTATCATCATTGATTTACAAAAGCTGCAGAGATACTTTTCTAATTGTTCCAACGCATTTCGGAGTGTTTCCACTCCTTCCTCAGGGTAAAGAGAGAATCTCCCACTGACACCAATGAAGGGGCAGCATTCCTCCCACTGACACCAATGATGGGACACCATTCCTCCTCCTACTGACCACAGGCGCTATATCATTTTTTTTTACTCCCACTGAGTTCCAAGACTGAGACATTGTCTACTCCCACTCATACTGGGGTATTTTCTACTCCAGCTGGCCACAGTCCGGCCCTCCTAAAGTCTGACGGACAGTAAACTGTCCCTTTGTTTAGAAAGCTTGGAGACTCCTGGTCTAGGTTGAAATACTCGGCTTTATTTATTAAAGCTGGTTTTCTCAGAATCGTATACGCACCTGTGCATGGTAGCCAATCAGCTTCTAAGATCAGCTTGTTCAATCAAGCTTCAGCAATAAAACCTGGAAGCTGATTGGTTCCTATGCAGAACTGCTTGAGATTCTGAGTGAACCAGCTTTAGTAAATAATCCCCACTGCATATCATTGTAGCACATTGGAATGGCTACACCTGAATGTGTGTTGCTATATGAAGTACTGTCATTGCTGTAAAACTACTTAATATATGCATGTGTGACACCTTATATCTTTAGGAAGGCAATGCTTCCTTGTTGGTGCTCTGTTAACAGGTACAAGCTGAATATTTGAGATTGTTTGCCTTGGTGATTAACAAAGTGCGCTATTTTCTGTAATCACTGTCTAGATTGACTAAGCCTTGCACGCAAAGTTCCTATTTCACCTACACAGCAGATATTAAAGTGTTACTAAACCCAGGACCCTGCATTCACTATATCTAGTGCAATTATTTTAGTTAATATAACCTGCTAAATACCTTTTCTCATCAGCAGTTAGAGCAGTCTGGTGACTTCTATCAGTGTTCAGCTGAGCACTGGTAAAGCTTGTAGAAGGAGTTTTCTTTCTGGTCTAGGAGGATAGAAAACCCCCCTGACTTCTGTCTGGACAGTGCTGATTGGCCATGTGCTGATCACATGCACTCTCCCAAAAAAAAAAAAACCTCTCTAGCAATACACACCAAACTGAGTAAATGCAGAATGTCTACAGTTCAGTCTGTCTTATCCAGAGATAAGACGTGGACATTTGAACAAGATTAGGAACAGAGAAGTCAGGATCAAATGGCCTTTTTACACAATGCGGAGGATTAACCCCTTAGGTTCCACAGTGAGTATAACAAGCATGCGTTACTCCATATACAGACTGGTTTTACGGTTATGGGTTTAGTAACACTTTACATTTGAAGAGCATTTTCAATATTAATACAATTGTTGAGAACACCTATATCTTTGTACATTTGAAAGTCTCTCTAAGCCTCCTTTACATTTGTGGCAAGGACTGACGCTCCTCTGAAAAGAGATCTGAGTGATATGTTGCCTTAGAAACTGCTTGTTTTAACCACTTAAATGCCACACTACTGCATGGTAACCACATGCATTGCACACAGATTCAGGTCATTTGCAGTGCAGTTTAGTTCACTTGACATGCCTGCTGAACATAACAGGGGATATAATTCCTGCCATGGCATGTGTACACCCCTTTGCAGCTTAGGGGTGAGGGGCCGTAAAAACCTGTCTCAGTCACGTTTTTGTTTTGTTTTTTTTTGCCCCAACTGCAAGTATATATAAGTTGTACATGTTTTCAAACATTGTATTAGTGACAGTACTCATCATTGTAAGGGCTCTTTCACATGGACTGGACAGCAAGGGGGCAGTGAAATCAGGCAGTTAAAGTGTTACTAAACCTACAAAGTAAAATTAGTCTGTATATGTAGTAAAGCATGCTTGTTATACTCACTGTGGAACCTAATCACCTGATAAGACATATCGTGTGGAGTCACTCTGCACATGCTCAGTTTGATGTGTATTACTAGAGAGGTTGTTTTTTTTTTCTTGGAAGAGTGCATGTGATCAGCACAGGGCCAATCAGCATTGTCCAGACAAAGGTCAGGGGTTGTGCATCCTCCTAGAGCAAAATTAAAACTCCTCCTACAAACTTTAACCAGTGCTCTGCTGGACACTGGTAGAAGTCACAAGACTGCTCTAACTGCTGATAAGAAAAGATATTTAGCAGTTTATATTTACTAAAATAATTGCATTTCCATTTTGTGTGTACTGTGGGAGACTGGATATAGTGAATGCGGGGTCCTGGGTTTATAAACATATTAGGCTATGGTTTTACTGACATCTAACTGCCAACCTTAACAAGGAGATGCAGACACTCAGGGCTGTGCTCATGCTGGGGCTCAGAAAATTTAATGGCATGTCAATTAAGTGGTATTCAAGTGAATGTGATGGTGCTGCAAACACCCTGCAGGGGCACAATGTATTAGCATTTTCAGGGTCAAAACAGGTGGTGAGGAGGTGACATTCTCACCACCTGCCAAACATTCTGTAAGACCACCATGGAGACACCATGATCCACAACTATTGAATTGAATAGGGCTGTATGTTGATATGCATTTTTATTACAATATATATGAAAAAATATTTTTAAAAATACATTTTCAAATATACTGTATGTCTTTAAAAATACAAATCTACATTTTTGGAATACATGTACAACTATATGTAAAAAATATATGTTAAAATTACTTTTCTTATATGTTAAAAAAAATCTTAAAGCTCAAATGCTTTTCTGCAGCGTTTCCATTGAAGTCTATAGAACCAAAAATGCAACTTGCGTTCAGAAAAGTCTCTGACCCTTTCCAAAAACTCAGAGATGTGAACGTGTCCCATAAGAAATCATGTTAAATGGACTGTACTGAGTTTTCTGCAAAACGCTGCGGGAAACACTTAGGTGTGAACCTAGGGTCATACCTGGCTTTGTGAAAAATGCCTTATAACTGGCTTTGTGAGAAATGCCTTATGACTGGTTTTGTAAGTAATGCTTTATCTCTGGCTTTGCAGTACTCATAAAGCCAGTTATAAAGCATTTCTCACAAAAACAGTCATAAAGGATTAATGCTTTGTATCTGGCTTTGTGAGACATGCATTATGTCTGGCTTTGTGAGCAATGCTTTAAATCTGGCTCTGTAATCACAGATAAATTACTGGCTTTGTGAGAACCCCTTTATAACTGGCTTTGTGAGTGCAGTTTTGTGCTTGGCTTTGTGACTACAGTTTTGTGCCTGGATTTGTGAGTACAGCTCTGTGCCTGGCTATGACTATGGCTTTGTGAGTAAAATATCAAATTTGAGGTAAATACCGCACATATGTTAGAATACTGAGATAAAAACCATAAAAAGACAAGATAAATCATTAGTCAATTCATTAAACACACACATGCATTATTTATCACCAGGTGTTTGCTGGCGGTATTTTAGAAATGTACAAAATAACAATTAGAGGAACTCTGCACTGACCAGACTGTGAAAAGTATACAATGTATCAATGTGAAAATGTTCTCCTCTGAGCTCAGGAATTAAATAAATTGTAACATTTCATCAGAGGGAGATCATTTTGTGAATGGAAGCACACTAGAATGATTTCATAGTTTCACAGTATTGCTGTGTGCATTCTGGCGCAATGTTAGCCTTCAAAAAAAAAAATTGTGAAAAAACACCAAACATAATGCAACATTTAAGTGCTAAATATCACAAAACATAAATATTTAATGCATTCGGTAAATATGTTTCAAGTGAATTGACTACTTTTGACATATCTCATTAGTTATTTCAACTCAAAAATCCATGTGGTATTTATCTGAGTAAATTAACCCCTATGGCTTAGTGCCTGGCTTTGTGAGTACAGCTCTGTGCCTGCCTCTGTGACCAAGGCTCTGTGCCTGGCTCTGTGACTACAGCTCTGTGCCTGGCTTTGTGACCATGGCTCTGTGACTACAGCACTGTCCCTGGCTTTGTGACTATGGCTCTGTGCCTGGTGTTGTGACTATGGCTCTGTGCCTGGTGATGTGACTACGGCTCTGTGCCTGGCTTTGTAACCATGGCTTTGTGCCTGATTTTGTGAGTGCAGCTGTTTTTGGCTTTGTAACTATGGCTCTGTGCCTGGCGATGCGAGGCGGCTGTGTGCCTGGCAATGCGAGTGCGGCTCGGTGCCTGGAAATGTGAGTGCAGCTGCTTCTGGCTTTGTAACTATGGCTCTGTGCCTGGCGATGCAACGCGGCTGTGTGCCTGGCAATGAGAGTGCGGCTCTGTGCCTGGCAATGTGAGTGCAGCTGCTTCTGGCTTTGTAACTATGGCTTTGTGCCTGATTTTGTGAGTGCAGCTGTTTTTGGCTTTGTAACTATGGCTCTGTGCCTGGCGATGCAAGGCGGCTGTGTGCCTGGCAATGCGAGTGCGGCTCTGTGCTGTGTGAGTGCCTCTGTGCCTGGCAATGTGAGTGCAGCTGCTTCTGGCTTTGTAACTATGGCTTTGTGTCTGGCTTTGTGAGTGCAGCTGTTTCTGGCTTTGTAACTACAGCTTTGTGCCTGGCTTTGTAACTATGGCTTTGTGCCTGACTTTGTGAGTGCGGCTCTGTGCCAGGCTTTGTGAGTGCAGCTGTTTCTGGCTTTGTAACTATGGCTTTGTGCCTGGCTTTGTAACTACGACTTTGTGCCTGACTTTGTGAGTGCGGCTTTGTGCCTGGTGATGCGAGTGCAGCTCTGTGCCTGGCAATGCGAGTGCGACTTTGTGAGTATAGCTATGTGCCTGGCTTTGTGACTACTGTTTTATGCCTGGCTTTAAAAGTGCTGCTTTGTGAGTCCAGCTTTGTGCCTGGATTTTTGAGTACTGCTTTAGAACTACAACTTTATAACAAGGTTTGGTTCTTGAGAAATGTTGTTTGTTCTAAATTACTAGTTTCCAAAGCCCGTTCTAAGGTTACTTTCATATGGGCTTTTAGCCACTGTATGAATGGCAGCAGCAGAAATCTGTGGATTCCTGCTGTGGCTTTTGACACCTGTGAGGTGTTAGCTACAAGGCACTTTGGGGTTTATTTACTAAAGCTTAGAATCTTGTGCACTTCTACATTGAAACCAATCAGCTTCCAGGTTTTATTGCTAAAGCTCAATTGAACAAGCTGAGGTTAGAAGCTGATTGGTCACCATGCACAGGTCCACCAGATTCTGAGTGAACCAGCTTTAGTAAATCCCCCCCCCCCCTTTGTGTGCATCCAGCAGCAACCACTGAAGGTAAATGCTGGCTGTGTCAGCAGCCACAAATAGTTGCAGCCTCTGGAAACGTGTCATTAAAGTGTACTGTACAGGCTCAGTGGCTGCAGCTTGCTGCTCACAGGTGTCAAAAACAGCAGCAGGAATTAGCTGTGACAGTAGCATCCCTATCCTCCTCCTCCTATTCACAAAAGGCCTTGTAGTTTTTTAATAGAATACAATGTGCTCTGTGAATGAAAGAATAAAGATCATGTTGCATCCACACCCGTCCCCATACTGCATTCACGGAACACTTTGTATTAACCCTGGTCAACATAACAATTTTTACAGGCTCCAAAATAAATAAGCCATAATGTTTCCATTGGACACGTAGTCAGGAAATGTACAGGTGAAACTCGAAAAATATATGTTACATGTAGACGTCATAATTCTCATAACTCAGAACCTTGCATGGCAAACAATAATACTGTTTACTCCAGCAATTTTCATTGAAGGGAGGGGGAATTAAACTTAGAGTTATATGTACTTTGATTGACAAGCCCACATGTAACAATCTATTCATGTTCTGAAATATGACTTTACAACTAAATCTCTCAGTATTAATATTATTATTATTATTATTTAATATTAATAATAACTTGTACAACATAAATTAAACAGAGAATATACTATATTAAAATATACTATTTCATGACTATTTCATGATAATTTATAACTATATTTATTCATATGTATTATTTCTCTGATAAACTGAACCTGTCTAAGCCAATTCCACCAGAGATCTTCTAACCAGCTATGCCCATCTCCACTTGTGCTAAGCACTTTCTTGTTATGCTCAGCTTCTAGCTAGTTAAATTTACTCCAGAAATATCTGGCATTTTCTCTAGCTCAGTCTTAACTGATAAATGTTACTTTAGACCACCTGCTCATTCATCTTAAATATGATTAATCATAAAAACCATATACAGGTGAAACTCAAAAAATTAGAATATCGTGCAAAAGTTCATTTATTTCAGTAATGCAACTTAACGGGTGAAACTAATATATGAGATAGACTCATTACATGCAAAGCAAGATAGTTCAAGCCGTGATTTGTCATAATTGTGATGATTATGGCTTACAGCTCATGATTGTATGGAACTGGGACTGATCTGAGGTCTAAAGCACATGCGTTCAAGCACTGGACTGATCTGAGGTTTAAAGTGTGTGTAGGCAGGGCGGACTGACCATTCAAGCACTCGGGCACTGCCCGAGGACTCGGGGTAGGGGGCCCCATGAGATGTCCCTGGTACCTTTCATAGGCTTTTTTGGGTGTAGTTTGAGTGTGGGCGAGGACACAGGGGCCCCATGATCCCCTATTGTCCGGTGGCCCCATGAGTTGTCAGTCCGCCCCTGTGTGTAGGTATGTATTGAGGGTTATTTGAGGTCTTATAAGTCATATATCATGGGGCATTGGGTCTGTTCTGAGGTCTGAAGCTACATACATTGGGGCTGATCTGTGGTCTGAAGTTGCATGCATTGGGACTGATCTGAGGTCTGAAGCTGCACGCATTGGGACTGATCTGTGGTCTGAAGCTGCACGCATTGGGACTGATCTGTGGTCTGTAGCTGCACGTATTGGGACTGATCTGTGGTCTGAAGCTGCACGCATTGGGGCTGATCTGTGGTCTGAAGCTGCACGCATTGGGGATGATCTGAGGTCTGAAGCTGCACGCATTGGGGCTGATCTGTGGTCTGAAGCTACATGCATTGGGGCTGATCTGTGGTCTGAAGCTGCACACATTGGGGCTGATCTGAGATCTGAAGCTGCATTCATTGGGGCTGATCTGTGGTCTGAAGCTACATGCATTGGGGCTGATCTGTGGTCTGAGGCTACATGCA